ATATATATATATATATATATATAATATATATATATATGCGAACAAGCCTGAATGGTCCCCAGGACAATATGCAACTGAAAACTCACACCCCAGAAGTGACTCGAACCCATACTCCCAGAAGCAACGCAACTGGTATGTACAAGACGCCTTAATCCACTTGACCATCACGAGGTGATTTGAGGAATGCTCAAATCAACCTCAAAAAAGAATGAGGTGATTTGGTAAAATGCTATGCCCAAGATTACTATCCGAGTGCCGGCGGTGGGGTGGTTCAAATAGCCTCGGCTATCACCTCATTATGTCCGGTCGTGATGGTCAAGTGGATTAAGGCGTCTTGTACATACCAGTTGCGTTGCTTCTGGGAGTATGGGTTCGAGTCACTTCTGGGGTGTGAGTTTTCAGTTATATATATATATATATATATATATATATATATATATATATATATATATATATATATATATATATATATATATATATATATATATATATATATTGGTGTATACTGGCAGCAGGTTTTCTTTCAAACATGTTTCATTGAATATGACCGCATATTCTGTATTTATTATTTTCTGGTTTAGGGCTTCTATCCCTCTAACTATTTCTTAGCATCAGGGCTTAATTGAAATAGGAGTTCTCCAAAACTCATTTTCGTACTTTTAAGGTGAAGAAAAGAAGTGATTTACTATAGAGTGTATTACACTTATTTGTATAATTTGCATGACGTTTCGAACCTCCATGGTTCATTCTCAAGTGAACAGATCTTACAATACTAGTTGATTTTATACCCGCATTAGGTCAGGTGATAATACAATGAAGGTGAAAACATGGGGGGATACATAAGGGATAAACATAGGGGCTGCAGAAGGCTTATTGGCCCATACGAGGCATCTCCTATCTAAACACAAAGATTAATCCAGTGTAATTGGCCTGTTATGTTGGACATTGTCTTCTGTGTTGGCATCGATATGTTCTTGTCTTGTCCTTACTCTCATGGTGGGTAGAGTAAATAGTTCCGTGATTTGGGTGTTCATGGTAGGTCGCTCTATTCTTATGTGAATTGCCTCAAGAATTTGTAATCTTCTTGAATCTTGGGTTTTGTCTATTATGCAAGTATTCTTGTTCAACATTTCTCTTGTTAGATATATATATATATATATATATATATATATATATATATATATATATATATATATATATATATATATATATATATATAAGACTGGTGTATATATATATATAATATTCCAAGCACAGCTAGGTGACTACACAGGGTAGTTAACAATAGATATGATAGATTCCAGTAGGCTCAGGAATGTGTACACCAGTTGATTAACAGTTGAGAGGTGGGACCAAAGAGCCCCAGCTCAACCCCCGCAAGCACAACTAGATGAGTACCCACCCACAGCGACAAAGTAGAGCAAGAGCAGCAGCTTAGCATGACTGGTTGTAGAAGAAGTCATAAACGGACACTTGGAGGAGCCAGAGGGTCACCAGGAAGCATTAGGAAGCATCTCTCAGGTACCAGCCACATGACTGACAAGGTCAAGCAGTTGACCTTAGCCCCTCAGCCATAGCTTGAAAAAGCAAGTCGGGAGTCACTTCTAGAACCGACTGCTAAGGCAGCTTGGCCCAGGAGCTAAAGCTCGATATTTATTATTAAATAGAATGCTGTCAATTGGAGTTTGTTGTTTAAGATTTGGTACTTGGAACCAAAAGTTCCAGGTAGCACGGGCTATGGTGAGCCCGTAGACTGAGGGAAGAGTGTTGTTCTTGGTGTTGGGCGGACCTGTAGTCTGCACCACCGCTGCTGCTCCTGTTTTGGGCGGACTCAGGGAAGAGTGGTTGTCCTCGGTGTTGACAGTGACACTGGGTGTGTCCCACTTGTTGGTGGTGGGCCATCACCGCCAGGCAAGCTCTCACACGCACACGCAGTCTCACTCGCACGCAGTCTCAGGTACACGCAGTCTCAGGCACACGCAGTCTCAGGCACACGCAGTCTCAGGCACACGCAGTCTCAGGCACACGCAGTCTCACACACACACACACACACACACACACACACACACACACACACACACACACACACACACACACGAACACACGAACACACACACACACGAACACACACACACACGAACACACACACACACACACACACACACACACACACACACACACACACACACACACACACACACACACACACACACTCTCTCACACACACTCTCACACACACACTCTCACACACGCACTCACACATCATAGAGCCAGAACTCAACCCCCACAAGCACGACTTAGGTGAGTACACACACTAGAGATGAGAGCCCTAATTAAACAACCCTGAAGGACTAACTCATGGAAATACTAGTGATACCTGAGGAAGACACGAAACAATTGCAGGAACTAGATGTGACAAAAGCTGTAGGACTGAACAATATATCACCTTGGATGCTAAAGAAGGTAGCGGAAGCATTGTGCTTGCCCCTTACTGTATTGTATAATTCATTTCTTGTAAAGGGAGTGTCCGAAAACTTGGACAACCGAGTCTTCCGGTCCCGGTACTCAACCTATGTAAGACGCACTGTTGAATATGCAGCCCCGGCATGAATCACTCGCCTGAGGGATTAAAAATGTAATTATTTTTACAAGTAAAAACTAGAAAAGGTCCAAGGATATGCAGCAAGGGTTGTTCCTGAGGTGAAGGGCTTGATCTACGAGGAAAGACTGAGGAAATTTGATCTCATCACTGGAGGAAAGGAGAGATTGAGGGGAGGGGGGACATGATAACGACATTTAAGATTATGAGGGAAACTGACAACTATTCAATATTCACAACTTGAAACAGCTGAATGAACTAGCATATATGGAAATGAAATAAAAATGAACTACATAAATATCAGAAAGAACTTCTTCAGTGTTGGAGCCGTCAATAATTGGAATAGACTAGACGAAGAAGTCTTTTGATTGATGTAGATTAAGCCACCCAAGAGGTGGCACGGGCATGAATAGCCCGTAAGTGGTAAATAAGTCTCTGAAGTAAATCCAATCCAAACTGTATATGTAAATATGATAACAAAAAAGGTATGAACGTCACTGCATTAAATTAAGAATGTTGGGAAGGCGGAGGTAGAAGCACATATATGAACATACTCTCTTGTAACTTCAAGCCTCCACCAGGGTGGACGTGAGGCTCCTGGGTGGAATAGTTGGCAGGAAGGGACGCGTGTCCACCTTGAGTACCATCTTATCCCCACTCCAGGCAGTACTACTGGCCTGATAAATGTGTTGTATATGGGTGAGTGTGGCTCACACAGCTCCCCTCTCTACTCCTTCTCAAAATATATGCATGGCAGGCCAGGTCCTTGTCCCACACAGTTGAATGACAAGTTAAAGCTATGAAAGATATGACACAAAATGCAGAATAAACTCATTGCAGAGTATAGATGCCATAGTCACAATGAGGGAAGTTGTGTGTGTGTGTACTCACCTAGTTGTACTCACCTAGTTGTGTTTGCGGGGGTTGAGCTCTGGCTCTTTGGTCCCGCCTCAACCGTCAATCAACAGGTGTACAGATTCCTGAGCCTATCGGGCTCATATCTACACTTGAAACTGTGTATGGAGTCAGCCTCCACCACATCTCTTCCTAATGCATTCCATTTGTCCACCACTCTGACACTAAAAAAGTTCTTTCTAATATCTCTGTGGCTCATTTGGGCACTCAGTTTCCACCTGTGTCCCCTTGTACGTGTTCCCCTTGTGTTAAATAGACTGTCTTTATCTACCCTATCAATTCCCTTCAGAATCTTGAATGTGGTGATCATGTCCCCCCTAACTCTTCTGTCTTCCAGCTTCCAGCTAACTCTTCTGTGTGTGTGTGTGTGTGTGTGTGTGTGTGTGTGTGTGTGTGTGTGTGTGTGTGTGTGTGTGTGTGAAGATGAGAGGTAGGGAATGAGCTAGGATGTAATGGACTTACGGGTACGCAGGCCGTACCCATAAGGGTGAGGGTGATCATTGCGTACGAGGGGTGCAGGTAGATAGTGATAACATTAATGATCACTTTCTCCATCCCTCGCCACGCATGTTAAACACTGCCTACTCTTCACCTTACCTTGAGGTTACCTTGCCATGATTTCGGGGCTCAGCATACCCGTGGCCCGGTCCTCGGCCCACTACACCAACAACAACCACTGCAGCTCTTAACAAGTTAACACACCCACGCACCTGCCGCAGAAATGAAACAGAAACGGAACTACACAAAAAGGAACAGAGTTATCTGATATATTTTCCTATATACATGGAGGAGGAGGTGGAGAAAGATTGAGGAGGGAGTAGAAGGGGATAGATAGGAGGAGGAGGAGGAGGAGAGGGGAGAGAGTGTATGAGACATGGTGTAGGTGTAGTAGTCTCAGGTGTAGGTGTAGTGTCCTTGACCAAATTTCCCAATAAGGCCGCTCTACATCCTTATTGGTTACCCAAACTTGCATCCATCACCGCTCAACCCCACCCTATCCACCCCTCCCTATCCTTCCCCCCTTCAACCCCTCCCTATCCCTCCCCTGTGGCCGTAACCTCACCTGGGGTTTTAAACCCTCCTCCACGCTAACAAGACCAACGCAGCATGTTGTTGTTATAGATTCAGCTACTCGGAACAAGGAACAAGTTCCAAGTAGGACGGGCTATGGCGAGCCCGTAGTGGACTTACCTGGCACAGGAGCGGTGCTGTCAAGGCAGTAATCGAATCGAAAAAAGAAAGATTCAGATAATACACATTGCAAAAAGGAACCCAGATCTCCATTATCCTTGACAACCGTCAATTATAATGGGGTGGATTTTTTTGTCTGGAGAGGGGTGGGGGTATTTTTTTGTCTGGAGAGGGGTGGGGGTATTTTTTTGTCTGGAGAGGGGTGGGGGTATTTTTTTGTTCAGTTATTTGTTGTGGGAATTAATTTTAAATGGAAATTCTTTGTTGAGTGAATTAGTAGTAATTTTTTCGTTTGCAGAGGGAATTCGGTTGTTTTGTAATGGAATGTCAGCTGTTTTTGTGGCGGAATGTCAGCTGTTTTTGTTGCGGAATGTCAGCTGTTTTTGTTGCGGAATGTCAGCTGTTTTTGTAATGGAATGTCAGCTGTTTTTGTAATGGAATGTCAGCTGTTTTTGTAATGGAATGTCAGCTGTTTTTGTTGTGGAATGTCAGCTGTTTTTGTTGCGGAATGTCAGCTGTTTTTGTTGTGGAATGTCAGCTGTTTTTGTTGCGGAATGTCAGCTGTTTTTGTTGCGGAATGTCAGCTGTTTTTGTAATGGAATGTCAGCTGTTTTTGTGGCGGAATGTCAGCTGTTTTTGTTGTGGAATGTCAGCTGTTTTTGTTGTGGGAATTAAGCTGTAGTGAAAAATCTGCATTTTTGTTGTTACTGGAGCTCATCTGCTTTTGTTGTGTGAATTTTTTTGTTATTGAAAGTCGGCTGTTTTTGTTCTGGAAGTTGTGTTTGTTTTGCAAGTTATATTTTTGTTCTACAAGTCATGTTTTTGCTCTGCAAGTCATGTTTTTTGTTCCAGAAGTCATGTTTTTGTTCCAGAAGTCATGTTTTTGTTCCAGAAGTCATGTTTTTGTTCCAGAAGTCATGTTTTTGTTCCAGAAGTCAGCTGTTTTGTTGTAGGATCTGGGCTGTTATTGTTATGGGAAGTATTGATATTATTCTGGAAGTCAACTATTTTGTTGTGGGAAGTGAGCTGTTTATGTTAAGAAAATTTCGCTGCCTCTGGTGACACATATACAAGGACAATAACCAGATATAAGTTCTGTGTTTTGATTATGAACACTTCCTTCATATTATTTGTGGTGTTTAGCAGCTCAGTGCAGATGAGTGTCCTTGATGAAGAGGCTGATGACTCCACTCTGTAGCCGGTGTCTCCTGTCACTTCTGAAGAGATTGAAGAGATTGTACTCTGAGATCCATATTTCACCGCCATAGTAATCCGACACTGCATTTGCCTCATTTAGGAGGCTAGCTTTTTTTTTTATTATTATTTTCTACCACAGACGTGGCCACACATTTACAATGCTAACCAGCATATATGCATTTTCTTCTGTCCTCCATGGACAGGGTTAGAGATGTGTTAAACATATAGTTCAAGGGTTTATTGAACACTCAACCACAGAAGGTGATTCGGTGCTTTTAAAATGCTAAGCTAACCTACATACGTAAATACATAGATACACAGATTTACGTATGCCCTACATAAAGTGTTCGATGTGTCTTTTAGGAGGCCAGCTATGAAGTGGAATTTGTTTGATTTGCCTGTTTTTATACCCTGAATGTTGGCAAATACAAATGATCTCGTATTTGTGGGAGTGGTTGGGCTTTACTTGGTGCTAATATATGGTACGAGGGTGACTGTGTCCATGTTCTCTCTAACATTTGACCGAGTTGGTGGTAGAGTCTGGACATGTCTAGCCATTCTTCTCCTATACTTACACAATTGTTAATACACATGTGTGAAGCTTAAATGGTCCCCCAAGCTTACGTACAGCTGTGTAAACTGTATTACCCCTCTTGTATTGGAACCAGGGTCACCAGGGTATAATACTTGCAGCTTAATACTACAACTCCCAGTGTTTCTCAACTGGGGTACCATGAATCCACAAGGTCACTAAGGGTTCTGCAAGAGATAGTGATAATTAGGCTAATTCTAATGTAAATGTATTTTTAAGTTATTTTGTATATTCTTATTTTACCAGTATGAACACACCTGGAGCACACCTGGAGCACACCTGGAGAGTGTTCTGGGAGTTGTTCTACTCCCCGAGCCCGGCCTGAGGCCAGGCTCCACTTGTGATAACTTGATGAACTGATGAAGAGCAAAGTCAGAAATCGCTTCTCTTCAGTTCATAATTAAATTCGTCTGTAATTTTTTTAAATTTTACCCCGAGTGACGAGTTTATTGGGCAGCGCCACTCATCCTGTGAGTGGACACACCGCCATAGTGACAGTATTGGGCAGCGTCACTCATCCTGTGAGTGGACACACCGCCATAGTGACAGTATTGGGCAGCGCCACTCATCCTGTGAGTGGACACACCGCCATAGTGACAGTATTGGGCAGCGCCACTCATCTTGTGAGTGGACACACCGCCATAGTGACAGTATTGGGCAGCGTCACTCATCCTGTGAGTGGACACACCGCCATAGCAGCATGTACAACACTCCCCAATAGGAAGAAAACCCGCTGGGTTGTTTATCCTGTCACTTGTACCCAGACACAGCTGGGACTTGCTTAACTGGCTCAAGTGAACAGCTTATCAATCAAGAGGATTAACATTTGTCAACCCCTAAATTTTACGTTATCTCGCGTTTGTGTTTAGATAAAGTACAACCAGGAGTTATTTCAAGGGAACAAATGTTAAGAAATGCTACTTTAGCCACTTAGCCAGTGACGGCCTATAAGATGGACGGTCCTGGAACCCACATACCAAATACATCACCCCAGACATCACCAGTGTGCACTCTTGCACATATTATAAGTTAAACTAGTCATGACATAATGGACTGTCTTGCTCATCCCAGAACTAAGCAGTCGAGGCCATACCAAGCTAATCCCACCGCTGCCACCATTGTTCTTGCTTCATGGTTTGTTAAGGGTACTAGTTGAAATAAATTAACTTTTATCATTTCAAAATGCCTGTGAATATCATGCTTGAGAAGGTCTAGTTTTATTATGGGTGGTTGATTAGGGTGGTTGTCTTGAGTTGGGTGATTCCAGACGTCTCCACCTCAGTCGCGGCCATCGCAAGCTTCACCATCTCCACGGGTCCTAGAGTCGTCGCCGCAGCTCCCACTAGAGAAAGTTTGGGACAACAAAAACTTAATTGCGTGGTCTTTGTGATGAGTTAAGTGGCTGGGATGTGTTGTTGCCACTACTCTGCTACTGCTACTACCATCACCACCCCCCCCCCCACTACCATCCCCGCCCCCCGGCCGTAACTCTCCCCGAGCCCAACGGGCACCACAGCCCCCCATTCCCCGCCGCTAACTCCCCTACCCAATCCCCGACCCTCCCCCCCATCCCCCCACCTTCCTACCCCGGCTGCTAAAGCTTTTGGCTAACTGGGGAATTAGTGTGACATTCCCGGCACATGTTATCACCCTAAGTTACTGCCAGATCACCCTACACTACAGTGTCTATATTGTTTGGCTGGCTCCTGGTGGGTGTAGTGAGGTGCGGGTGTGAGTGGATGTAAGTGTAGTGAGGGAGTAAACCTTTCCATTGTTAAGGCCTCACCTTTCTCACTGTGATCTCACTTCTCCGTCCGTGAGATACTCCCTTATCCACCCTAATATTTATCCAGGTAGCTCCTTCCCCTTCACTGTAAGGTAGCTTCTTCCCCTTCACTGTAAGGTAGCTTCTTCCCCTTCACTGTAAGGTAGCTTCTTCCCCTTCACTGTAAGGTAGCTCCTTCCCCTTCACTGTAAGGTAGCTCCTTCCCCTTCACTGTAAGGTAGCTTCTTCCCCTTCACTGTAAGGTAAGTCCTACCCCTTCACTGTAAGGTAAGTCCTACCCCTTCACTGTAAGGTAAGTCCTACCCCTGCACTGTAAGGTAAGTCCTTCCCCTGCACTGTAAGGTAAGTCATACCCCTGCACTGTAAGGTAAGTCCAAGTCCTACCCCTGCACTGTAAGGTAATTCCTACCCCTTCACTATAAGGTAAGTCCTACCCCTTCACTGTAAGGTAAGTCCTACCCCTGCACTGTAAGGTAAGTCCTACCCCTGCACTGTAAGGTAAGTCCTTCCCCTTCACTGTAAGGTAAGTCCTTCCCCTTCACTGTAAGGTAAGTCCTACCCCTGCACTGTAAGGTAATTCCTTCCCCTTCACTGTAAGGTAAGTCCTTCCCCTTCACTGTAAGGTAAGTCCTACCCCTTCACTGTAAGGTAAGTCCTACCCCTTCACTGTAAGGTAAGTCCTACCCCTGCACTGTAAGGTAAGTTCTACCCCTGCACTGTAAGGTAAGTCCTACCCCTGCACTGTAAGGTAATTCCTTCCCCTGCACTGTAAGGTAATTCCTTCCCCTTCACTGTATGGTAAGTCCTTCCCCTTCACTGTAAGGTAAGTCCTACCCCTTCACTGTAAGGTAAGTCCTACCCCTTCACTGTAAGGTAAGTCCTACCCCTTCACTGTAAGGTAAGTCCTTCCCCTTCACTGGAAGGTAAGTCCTTCCCCTTCACTGTAAGGTAAGTCCTACCCCTTCACTGTAAGGTAAGTCCTACCCCTGCACTGTAAGGTAAGTCCTACCCCTTCACTGTAAGGTAAGTCCTTCCCCTTCACTGTAAGGTAAGTCCTACCCCTTCACTGTAAGGTAAGTCCTACCCCTTCACTGTAAGGTAAGTCCTACCCCTTCACTGTAAGGTAAGTCCTTCCCCTTCACTGTAAGGTAAGTCCTACCCCTTCACTGTAAGGTAAACAGAACCCCCCCTGCCCAAGACCGTCATCACACCCCCCCCTTACATAACCCCCTCCCCCCCCCCTCCATTCCTCAGCAAGTAGCAGGTATGTGACCCCCCGCCCCCCCCCGGGGATGGTAGTCTATTATGCTGCTCAGGTAAGCTGCTGTTGCTGCTCTTGTTACTGCTGGGGTGGGCTGCTGTTGCTGCTCTTGTTACTGCTGGGGTGGGCTGCTGTTGCTGCTCTTGTTACTGCTGGGGTGGGCTGCTGCTGCTGCTCTTGTTACTGCTGGGGTGGGCTGCTGCTGCTGCTCTTGTTACTGCTGGGGTGGGCTGCTGCTGCTGCTCTTGTTACTGCTGGGGTGGGCTGCTGCTGCTGCTCTTGTTACTGCTGGGGTGGGCTGCTGCTGCTGCTGGGGTGGGCTGCTGCTGCTGGGGTGGGCTGCTGTTGCTGATCTTGTTACTGCTGGGGTGGGCTGCTGCTGCTGCTCTTGTTACTGCTGGGGTGGGCTGCTGCTGCTGCTGGGGTGGGCTGCTGCTGCTGGGGTGGGCTGCTGCTGGGGTGGGCTGC